TTCCCTCCATCAGCTGCGAATGGGTTGCTTCCACCGCCCCCAGGGACGTGAGGAATTTGATTCTCTTCACCAACAGGAACTTGGGGGATTGCATTGTTGCCGTAAGGATTTTGTCTCTGTGCATCAGTGAAGTTCACCAGTGCAAGACTAAGGGTAATGAGGGTGGGCAGGGGTAATCCCCTCAGAACAAAAGGAAGCTGCATCGCAATAAATCGTTTGTGTGATTTCAAAGGGAGGAAATGAAGATGTGACAAATGTAGTCAAGGAAAGACTACCAATGGGATTCTGGTCGTCTCTTATGCAACATGGGCTGCCTTGAATGGATGGGTATGATGGGGAGTGATACAGCACTGAATGCTAGTACATGATGGCCCATAGTACAGTCGGCGTTTTTTCTGGGAATATGCTTGAATGATTGATATCAGAGCACAGCTCAGTTGATCATCAGAGCTGAGCGTGAGTCCAAGAATGGTTGATACATACTCCGTACTGTATATTACCTGGCGGCTTCTCCAATTTTGGCGATCCAAAATGTGATATCTCTTGCAGGATGGCTGGGTAATCCATTTCTTGCGCCATGAATGTAGTCATATTGATAGAGCCCAGAATTACGTGGTCTTTCATACTCCGTACATGAGATACCAGCATATGAATTGGCTTTCAGATCATTACAACAGGAATCAATATCGGATCCACATCAGCTGCAGTAAGTAAACTGTGGGCGTTACTAGTGTACTCTGTGAAAAAAAAAAAAAAAAAAAAAAAATACGGCCTTGAACACTTAGTATCGAGCCAAACTTCAATAGATCTTCACAGAGCCGAGCACTCGAAGTATGCGACTATCCATCAATACTACATGCTTACTGTATTCGTCCATTGATTTCCGTAATCTTCACCTGGTCGAGATCGAGACCTTTGAACCTGTACAAGCTGCAGAGTTCGTGTGGGGAAGCTGTAGGACTATGGGTACAACTTGGTTTTTCTGCTGTGTGGTGTAGCATCTAGCCAGGGATCCAGACATGTCTGATCGTCGCTTTGTTCAGGCTGTACTCGGCTGATTGGTTTATGTTCTTCTACTGTGCACGAGAATCTCCTTCCTCACCACAATAACAGCAAAGGCTCGTCAATCTGCTCGCTTTTTCTTTTCTGATTTCACCACTCTCATACAATGCAGATTATCAAGCCTTCTGTCGCCGTCGCAGCCTTGGTATCTGTTAGCGAGGCGCAACAGCCTTAATTGGCGTATATGGATGTCTATGAAAGATGGTGAAGAGAGTTCCTCATTTCTCAGCTGAGGGGTGGTTAGCTGAGCATGTCACATCAATTTCCCTATGTGGAGAAGATCTCGATGGATCTTATGCAGGTTAGACTCGTGGTAGACGTAGTATGCTAGGCCCATTGGCAGCACACTCTCGAGTCCACAGATCATGTACTCCTTTTTCTTGGTCTGTGATTCTGCACTTCAATAATTTAGTTGGTTCTGTTAAATTTTATCTACTTGACAAGAAATGTGTCAGGGTGCAGGGTCAGGTAGCGATATATATTAGGAATTGACGAACAGGGTAAGCTACGGTCAGGCTATCTACAGGTTCATAGACAAGACGCAGCTCTTCGAGCTGCAGCAGAATCGGCGTTGGCGCAGACAGATATCTCTGTGGGTCACGTGCCTAGTCACGTGCATAGATCACGGGCTGGCACCGTGACAAAATGTAATTTGGGATATCAACAGAAAAGGAGTGCTCAGGTCATACTTTCAACTAAGTAGTTACTACTTGTTTGTCTTAGAACAAAAATGGCAACACATTGCCACCCCAGCATCCATAGATCATCGAGCATATAAAAGAAAGCTAATGCAGGAAGACCCCATTCGGTTCGGCACGAGCAGCTGAAAAGGACTAGCGTATGGAGTAATACAAGATAATACCATACAAGACAACATGTACGGTATATTCCGGTATGCAGCGCGGAATGTCGTCCGTGAATGACCTAGCTCGAATATACAGCTAAAGGAGGCTGGCTGAAAAGATACAAGGCATAAAGTTCTCCAACGATCGACGATGGGCAAATGCCATATTTTACAACCAAAAGGCCCCAGTAAGTACGGAATGCTGCATGACCGTATAGTGTGCATTGCTGGAGCCTCGATTGAGTTTTGATACATGGCTTGATCCAATTAGCCTAAATTTCATCCCGGCTATGCAGTTCTATGGAGGATTTGCTGCAGGATGATGCAATTGGCTAATTTAACGAGAAATACGTAGCGTAAATACACGGCCGAGGTGCGAATACGACCGAGCTGCCAATTTGTATTCCCATACAAAATGGCACTTCTTTAACATAGGCTTTAACATAGGATATCTCAACCAGTTCAATATTGTTAATGTTTATATTAAGCTATTCAAATATTTATGAGCATATATATGGATATTATGAGTAAAGAGAATATAGCATGGTTGAGATATCTTATGCTAAAGAAGTGGCATTTTGTATGGGAATACAAATTGGCAGCTCGGTCGTATTCGCACCTCGGCCGTGTATTACGGTTACAAGCCACATCGCAGGGAATTCTATTCTGTAGGAGTAAATATACCCACTCTACGCATAAATTGGCTAGCTGAGTGTCAGGCATTACGTGGTAAAGAACAGTTCTGCTACGTACTACCCTCTATTTACTTTTCAGAACTGCAGGATCTATTCAGCTAAGGGAGATCAACATGCATCTCCACAAACTATCGTCAATTGTGCAGTCGGAGGTAGTCGGTATATACAGGTTATCAATGCATATCTAGCACATACGGGTCAAATGATCTGTCTGATGCAGGAATTTATCACACAGCGGCTGAGTTTCCATGTAAGCGGATGAGACATTTGTCATTGGAATATTGTGACGAATTGGTGGTTCTGTGGACGGTTGCCGAAAGAATGAGCACTTCTCCAGTGTACTCTGTAAAGAAGAAAAGAGTCCAGGAGCTCTCATTATACATATAAATACCAGTCAGCTGCTCTGTCTTCTACACCATCACTCACACAATTGTCAAGTTGAAAATAGCGAATCAACCATCCACTGTGAGTCGAGACTATTCTTACCTCCAATCTGTCCCCCTCGGCCTCAATAATTAGTACTTTGCTGACCTCTTATACAGCAAACTATGAAATTAATCCACACCCTGGCAGGTGTTTCCCTGCTCTTTGGGCTAATCCAAGCCCAAACCAATCCGGAATTTGACCGTCACTGCAACCCCGTGCCCAGTTCTCCGGCAGAGGTTGAAGTCGAACCCGGTGTCTTTGCCACGTACCACTGTAACAAATTTGTGCACCAAAACGGCTACAAACAACAGTTGCCTGCTGCTACTACCGGTGACTGTGCTAAGGAGTGTGCAAAGAGAGATGACCACGCCAAATGCGTCTGGTGGAACAATAGGTGCTGCTTCTACGAACCGACCACCACGACGCACGACGTTGCCGGGGGTATCTATATTACTTACCGGAAGGACTGCGACAAGGCCAAAGAGAATGAGATCAATAATCTAAACCAGCAGATTAGGGACAAGCAGACGGAGCTCGAGTCTTGTCAGGGCCACAATGCTCTCATCGAAGCTGCGGCTCAGCAATGCGCTACCGATTTGGAAACCTGCCAGGCCAATGGCGGCGGCGGTGGTTCTGGTGGCGATGGTTCTGGTGGCGGTGGTTCTGGAAACTCTCGTGACTGTAAGTTTCCTTCCCTTGTTTCCTCGGGAATTGAGAGTGGGAAGACTGGATAACTAATAAATGTACCAATTCAGGTGCGTCTGGTGGTCAAACTGGCGACAACTTCGTTGTACATGGTGTGAAATGGGGTCTTGTTTGTGACAGGAGTAAGAACTCACTGTCCCCAAATAATTGAAAATAGCCAGAATACGTCAACTGACAATTGCATCCAGCATTTACGGGCCTTGCGTCCGAACAGGGCGGGGTGAATGGAGTCACTTTCGACGAATGCCTGAAGCAATGTGCCGACAGATACAGACAGGGCCAAAACAACTGCTGGTCTGTCGACTACCATGCTGCTTCCCAGCAGTGCAAATTCAAGAGGTTCCTTGGTAATGACAGACACAACTCGCCCGGTTGGTGCCGCGCCAAGGCTCTGTCGCAGGCATAAACGTGAATGGGAGCCTGTCATGAACTGATATTGCATAGCCTTATCTTTTATCTGACAGCCGGATTGGGAGCGGTCAAACCAATCCCTATAACCGAAGGATAAATCTTCGGTCATCAACTCGCTGGATTATTCTGAGAATTGGTTTATTAAATACATAGTCAATATATTCTTGTTACTATGTAGAGCTTTGCTATATTTACTTTACTCTAGGGCTAAAAACCAGAATATCTTAGTATAAGATAAATAAACATCGTAATTGGAACAATACCAATCAACTCTACTACTTTTCTTTTCTTTTTTCGATTCCAGTGTTTAAAAAATCTCAGCTCTCAGCATTTCAAACGATGATTATGTTATCTAGCGATATATGTCACGGAGCTCAGCTAGAGTTGCATTCGGCGCGGATTGGTGCGGATGGAAGGTGCCCTCCATCCACGCCGCGCGGATTTTGGATGCTCAGGCTTGGATCCGCATCCGCGCCAAAATCCGCGCGGATTGGCGTGGATTAAGCCGCAAAAGCCGCACTAAAGCCCAAGTAGGAAGGTACTAGGCCATATATGGCTAGTCTCCCTGCTTAATCACCACTCAGTATCACCCTTACAATCGCCTGCTCAGCTTGTATATTGATATTTCAAGCCATCTATATAGTAAATATATCAATTTCTTATTAAATATCTTTTATATATCCATCATATACCCCTATATATTAATATATATACATATCGATATCTATATGGAGGGTGGGTGGTGGTTTGGGTAGAATGTCGATGGAGATATATAGATATATATTTCAGCTTCATACATCACGCATACATACAGTCGATGTTTAGTTTTTAGTGAATAACTCCCCAACGAGGGGGCCTATGGGACTCATATTTTGAATATGGATATATCTATATATGCTCTATATGCCTATATAAATATATTTTAGATATTTCGATGCTTTGCTGCTTATTAAGCCAAATGGATGACTGCAGATTAATCCGAATCCGCAGCGGATCCTTACATAGAATCCGCAGCCGCTGCGGACTTTCTCAACTTCCATCCGAAGCCGCGCCATTGCGGATTCGGCGCGGATTGGCGCGGATTTTGCGGCTTCGCTGTGCCACTCTAGTACCTTCAAGGCTGTGGAATCAACTGAATGCTCCTGTGGACGTGGCCTCCAAGACATACGCCATGTTCTCCTCCACTGTACCAACCAGGCAGGACCCCGGATGCGCCATCTTACACAGGGATCAAGGCGGGAGCTGGATTACTGGGCCTACCTAACACGGCCAGACCTGGTATCAAAAGCAGTGCACTTCATGCTTGAGACAGGCCTCCTAGGCCAGTTTCAAACTCTACCAACCACATACCAAGTCACAACAATAGACTTGGGGAAACCGGCAGCATAACGCAGCCAAGGTTACACGCTTGCAGAAGTAGGGAAGGAAA